TTTCATCAAGAGCCGTACGACGCCCACTGTTGCGTATAGGCCTCTCCATTGATCTCGTTAAGTTTCGAAGAAATAACGTTAAATAGTGACATTCTTGTATACTTTAGCACTTCGATATAGCTGTAGTCCACTTGGTCCACCTTTGGAGAGACCGTAGCAACGCCCATGTCCCGATCGAATCAAAAGCTTTCTCGTAGTCCACAAACGCTAAGAATAACAGCAAGTGATTTCGTCATCACCCACCGCCTTGTTGTTTTTAGTTGTTTAAGAGTCGTTCTAATCTCATATAGGCTGACGTCCGGGATATCTTCGGTAGTGTCGGGTAAGCTTGGCTCTGGGATCTGTAGCCTTGCTTGCAGCAGGTGTTCGCGTGGAATATAACTGTCCTTAGAAACGCTTGTTCTCCTTCAATATCACAGCTCGTGACGAAATTATACTACTGCCGTCAGATTTTAGCTTCACCAGTTGGCTTTGTCCGATAGACAAATCTTTCGAGAACACTCGGTAGATTATTTGCTGACTATTAATTCCTATTATTGTCAGAATCTTGGCAAAGAATTTTAACACCATGAATACATTATAAATACTAACAACTCCCTAATTTTTACCGGTTTGTTGCACCACGACTATTATGCTTTAATGATATTCTCCATAAGTGTCAACCAGACATCGTTTTAATACGATTATTTAGATTGTAAGCTTAAAATTAGGGACTTTATTTTGTACTGTCATTTAAATTTGTCAAGTTTTATAGAATTTTTCAATTGTTTTTCTATAAACATTTTTAGTTTTAAATGTTGTGATAAAGCATAGAATGTTGTATTTGCTATTATATGTGGTTATAAAAAACAAACAGACAAAGAAAGAATAAATTGTTAAAAGCGGCCATATTTGAAGATCTCGTTGTATTCAGTAATTATAATTGGTAATATAGGGACGAATGCTTATTTAATAGTTCAAGTGTAGTTCTTATTGATTATGTTATAATTAAGTAAACCAAAAAGAGCTCAAAATTATAAACCTAAAAAACATTAAAGTGTCACAATGGTAAATCCTATAAGTGAAAAATAATGCCCACAAATTATTTTCTAGACGGTGTTAAACCAGTTATGTGCAGATATTTATAAAAAATCTAGCTCCAAAAATATGTAATGTTTATGGACAATTGTATATTATTTATATGTCTTAAATATTTGACTTTGATTCTGCATTATTAGTATTATATTATTTTTATATTAAAAGCCCTAAATTAGAATACAATTGTTTTTTTTGTGTAGTATGTTCGAGTGTTTAAAACGCTTATATTTTCTCAAGTTCCCAACATCAAGTTTAACTTTACTTTTGGTTAGTTAACATGTATTAGGCATGATAGCCGTAACTTTCTAATTGCCTCTATTTAAGTACAAAATAATTAAGTGATTAGGTCTCAATATAACGAGTAGTTTGATTCACGAGTTGGAATTTAGAATGTCATTAAAAAGGGCGCCATTATTGCTTATTAATTAAGAATTTAAATGTCTTCCATAATCATTTAGTTAATGGGGATAATTATTTATTTTAGTTTGTCTGTCCGTCAAGTAGATTCTTATAACATACTAAACACGTATTTTTTATCAATAAATTACGGGCATGCATTGAGTTGAAATGTTGCATGACGTCACGGCTTTGGTACGTTGAAGCAAAAAAAAAAACGTATCTAATATTATTCTAATATCTCACTGATGGACTGAATAGAATTTCATTCTTTTAAATTATGACCTGCAATAAGAATATAGAGACGTAATATAAGGGCTCGTTGCGATAATATCAAAATTTTGAATTTATTTAAGAATATTAGCTACCATTGTTCTACTTAGTATTCGAAACAACTAGAACATTAATTTTGAAAAAGAGATATATACAAAATATAGCTCTATCTCATTTTCATAATTTAATTTTCGTCTCTAATCCTTTACTCTTCATCAAACGTGGACTGAGAAAGGTTGACGGTTCAATAATAATATGGTCAATATCACTTGTTTTATTTTGTTTCCATGTATCTGAGGGGTTGCTTTTCAATATGATTATGATTTCAAATATGGTGGGGGGGAAAATTGGTGCATCTTGATCTCGTTATTATTTTGTAGCCAATGTTCTACGTCTTTTAGATCTCAAAATTATAATTTTTACGGTATACTCACGCGGTCCCAAATCATCAATGCAATCCTATCAAGCAAATGTCATAATTTTTTGATGATTTAGCTAACGAGAAAAGTAAAACCTGGTAAGTGGATGCCTTTACGTTGATAAATCAATTTACTACACGTCATACTTAAACGATGTAAAAACTCTAAGTGATCTGAAAAATGTTTAAATTTTAATTTGCTCATATTTCATGCCAGTGTGTGCATTCAATGCAAAACGCAATTTATTCCAATCAACACACAGTTCGATTATTTTAGTAGCAAACAGGTGATTATATACTGACAGTATGATAAATGTAATTTATATGTAAAACATAGAAAATGTAAAGTCTATAAAAACATAGAGACGAACCATTATTTATTAGATAATGAATTTCTAGAAAATGTCAATGATATTTCATTCGCATATTAATTTATTATTCTTATACAACTCGTTAATAAAAATTGTTTTAATTAATAATCATCATATATATTTTAAATATATATTGCATATATTATTATATAATAATATCTCAATAACGTATTTTTTATCGAATCTAAAATCGACACTGCAGACTGAAAATGTGTATTAGCAACTCCGCCCAGGGTTTTTGTATAAATACGAGTGTCCCGGTCGTGGTCATTTATTCGCTCGCTTGCGCTTGCGCCGGCTAGTCGTGCGTGCAGCTCAAAGGACTTTAAGTTATCTTACTTTAGTCTTGGTTTTCTCTCAGTTCGAGTTCGTGTGTTACTTAGTTGAATCCGTGATAATGGCTGACTCTAAGGATACTATATCCAAGGTATGTATACACAACCTATTTAGTTTGAATGGAGATTTCCCATCGAAGAAAATAATTTTGTTTCAATTGTATCGCGATGTGCTTTCAGATAATTTGACTCATTTTTTATGGTTTTAAATATGTACAATCAATAACAATATAATTTAGTTTTCGATCGTCGGATTGTTGGGAAAGAAACAAATGAAGTTTATAAAATTAGACTACTTTGTCATTCTGCAAACTGATTTTCTTTTTTGCTATAGTTTTTAACTAAAAAAAAATATTTCATCATACCTTCTCTCGCATACTAAGTAGTTGCCGGACTATCAATTATAAAATCAAAATAACAATCTTCGCTAATATTATAAAGTGGAAAACTTTGTTTGTATGTTTGTTTGTTTTTTGTTGGTAATGATTAGGTTTAAAAACTACTGGACCGATTTTAAAAATCCTTTCACCATTCAAAAGTTACATCGTCCACGGGTAATATAGGCTATATTTTATTTTGGAAAAAATAGGGTTCAGTAAGATATTTGGGTTCTTCAGACACAAGGTGAAAAAAATCAACCAAAAAAGTTACTTATTTTGCGTACTTTGCCTAAACTATAAAAGGTAGAACCATAAAATGTCCTTATTTGTATATTTTATAAATATCTACAAAAATCCGCGATACACTATCTATGTCGAGAGAAACACAAAAACCAATTTGTTATTTATAAATATAAATTTTTTTTTGGACTATATTTAAACGCGTTTATTTTACTCATGCTATTAATCCCTATCAAAATAAATTATTTCATCACTAAGAACAGTTTATGTTGATAATATTTGGTATTTGAATGATTAAAATTGAAGTAATGGAGAAATTAAAATATTACGATTTCTGCTGCGCGGCCCGGGGTACGGGGTACGCGTGCGGGAGGGGAGTGTAGATCTATGAGTAAGGTACCATGGCCATAGCGGACCACGCAGACGAAGCCACCAGCGGGAAAGCTAGTATATAATAAAATATGAATTTATTAATGGTAATTCTAAAAGAATAGTTAAAAGTTAATTCCCATCCCAACAATTAACTGTCTAGTTCATCTGTTGTTATAGCCGGTAACATAATGGATTGAATTTTTTTAGATTTAATAAAATATGATAATGAAAAATGCTTAAAAAGCTCAGAGTACCAGGGTCAAAATGGATATTTGAAAAGTATTTTTCTTTTGTCGACAGGTTTTATGTGCGCGTGACGGTGACATGAGCACAAACAACAAACGGCGTGGAAGAAGCGGTTCCAGCTGTTCTGCGTCTGGAGTGCCTGCTTTCGTAAACGCCCTGACCGCAATGTCTGCTGATCTCGCATCTATATTTGAGTGTCCAGTTTGTTTCGATTATATCTTACCTCCAATATTGCAATGTGACAGCGGGCATCTCGCCTGCTCCAGTTGCCGACCTAAGCTGTCATGCTGTCCCACCTGCCGTGGGCACCTCGGTTACATACGAAACCTTGCCATGGAAAAAGTTGCTAATTTTATCATGTTCCCATGTAAATATTCTAATAGTGGTTGTACTGTCACTCTTGTGCACACAGAAAAAGCGGAACATGAAGAAGCTTGTGAATTCAGACCATACTCGTGCCCTTGTCCAGGTGTATCATGCTCGTGGCAAGGTGGATTAGATCAAGTGATGCCCCATCTAATGATGTCTCATAAACATATCACAACCCTGCAGGGAGAAAACATTGAGTTCTTAGCCGACATTAACTTGCCAGGAGCAATCAACTATGTTATGATGCAGTCTTGTTTCAACCACCATTTCATGTTAGTACTTGGAAAACAAGAGAAATTTTATGGACATCAGCAATTTTTTGTTAAAGTACAACTTATTGGAACACTCAAAGAAGCAGAAAATTTTGCGTACCGATTGGAATTAAAAGGATATCGTCGTCGTCTTACCTGGGAAGCGATGCCTAGATCCATTGATGACGAAGTGTCTTCAGACATAATGAATTCTGAATGTCTCGTATTTGATGCCTCTCTTGCACAACTATTTGCTGACAATGGGAATCTTCGAATAAATGTAACAATATCAATCGTCTAGCCAAGAAATAGACCATGGGACATATTCATGAATCAAAGAAGTAATATGTATGAACCTCCTTGTTATGTCCTTGATATTTATAATCAAACTTGTGTAAGTACAGTTGATACCACATTAGGTTTTAGGAATTTTCGAATAAATGTCACAATATCCATCGTCTAGGCAAGAAATAGACCATGGGACATATGCATGCATCACAGAAGTAATATGTATGAGCCTCATTGTTATGTCCTTGATATTATAATCAAACTTGTATACGCCACATTAGGGTAACCTATGGTTTCAGTAGTCATACTGAAACCATAAATTTCTGCAATAGCTATAAAGCATGTGTAGGTCAATTTGGTTAGTGTTTACGTTATAATCAATCGCATATCGATAAAATCACAAACACTTGCACTTAGCTTTTTTACTTAGTCATTGTATATTTAATAATTGATTAATTTACTTAAAAATAAACCAAAAATATGCAATTTCTTTTGATTATTTTTTGTAAATACATTTGTGTGTTCTCATCTTTAGAGTTAAGGAGAGATATAAAATTCTTCCAGTGTGAATGATCACTATAAAATGCCTTGTAAACATAGTTTATAAAAACAAATAATGACCTCTCAGAATGGAAAGTGATTATTTTATTCCAAGCAAAGAACAAATATTTGTTTTAATATTAATCATTTGTATATAAAGTCATGACAAGTTATCTAAATTTTAGGAAATTTATATTTTTATGAATATATATGTTGCTATATGAGGAATATTTACTTAGTGAATTGTCGTCAATAGATTTTGCTGTAATGGTGGGTCACAAGCGTTAGCAGAAATTTGAGATGCCTCTTTGACAGAAATTGATTATTTTATGTACTTTCATTTAAATGAGGCATGATGGAATGCTGATAAAGTCTATTTAATTTGTAACATATAATTCTCAATACTTATGGTGCACTTAGTACCTAGCTGTAGCAATGTTAACCAAATCAGTGACGCTCCTGTATTGTCATGCAATGCAATTGTATTTTCATTTAAGACTTGAATACAGTCAATAAATGTTAAGAAATGATGTTTTTTTAAACATTGTTTTTATAGCTGTTTGGTTTTGTACAAAAGTCTACGATTTTGTTTTAGTTAACAAGTTTTGTAGTATTTGACTGTATTTTATTTAATAATTCTACTCTAGGTTTCATTTTATTTATAAAATATCATGTTACTTTGACAAATAGATTTTACCCTTCACAGTGTTGCCGGGTTGGAGGTTTTTGTGGTAAAATTACCGTTGAAAATATTTTTGAAATATGTAGTGTACATTTTATAACACCTAAACATTATTGATAAGACTTTGTATAAAAACTATTAGAAAAACCGAAATAAATCAAATAGTTTAATTATGTGTATACTTAAATAGATAACAAAAGAATTCCGTTACAAAATAACATTACCGTAATTCAAAATTAAATCAATAAAACCTAATTATGACTATCGTTACCAATTCTACGTTCTTGTACTTGGACATTTATAAAATTATTTCTAATAATTGCTGATTTTAAGATAATCTCGAAATCATTATTTTATTCAAGCGACGAGGAATAGAAAAATATTATTTTTCACGCAGCAAATTTTAGTTTTCTTATTAACTTGTTCATGCAATAACGAGAATTTATTTATATCATCATATTGAAAAGATTACATCTTTTGTGAGTATAGAAGTTGGAGAATAATCGTCATGTTCCTCATAATATGTTATCTTTCCAGCTGGATTATTTGCATTAAGTTATGATTGTTATTTAGCTGTTTATGAAATCTGACAATAAATCATAACTAATATTTTCTTGTTTTATTCCAATGTTCTTTCCCTGATAATAATTTATTATACCTTAAGTACAATTCCTTTGAATAGCTATCACCTTCACAAAATGAAGGTACTGTTTATTAGGTAATTCTGTTTCCAAAAAATACTTATGTAGAGTTAGTTCAAACATTTCTTCATGTAGTTTTACTATACTAATAAAAAAATCGATTGAAATTGTATTGAATTACATGTATAAATATATCATGAGTTTAAAAAAAATAGAACTATCTTCAAAATAATAAAAAAAGAGAAATAATATTTATCTTAAAAGCGACTTCAAGAAATCGCTATTGCAGTTATATATTGGTATTAATTTTTAAAAAAAGGAAAAAAATATGCATAACGTTTTAGGGCTAGCGAAGGGTAAAAACAAAAAATAGCCGGCAGCACGTGACCGACTGTTTCAGCATCAAACTTAATTTCATTATATCAAAAGCTACATAAGAAAAATAAGATTAGTTAAAATAATAATTAGATTGTTAAGAAATATTGCAAAATATTCTTTCACGGAAAAGAAAAAAAAAACAGTAACATCAGTTTCATTTGTTCTATTTGTGTATTATAATATTATCAGTTTCCTGCTTCTGCAATGAATTATACGTATAATGGCCAGGTAAAATATAATAGATCAATTAAGAATTAAGAATAGAAATATCATGATTTTTAAATGCTTCTTTAATTTATTGTACATATATGCGGACTGTATTATGTATTGACGTTTAAAAAACTTTGTTTTAATTTTTTTACATAAACAAACTTGTCTTTTCTCCTACAGTTCATATTGTTGACATTACGAGTATATGGTAAATATTTCTGAAGTCTTAGAGCTGCTAAAAGATAACTGATAGAAGCTGACAAAAATCACAGAGTTCTTTTTTAGGGAAACCGAATGGCTTAAAAACATTACTTTGAGAAGACATCACTGACTACTCTCTAATTCTAGAAACTTTGTTTTACATGTACCTCCTCACAATGGAGCACAATATCCTATAACCGATATAACTGTTTAATGAGCCCTTTGGTAGTCACATATCTAAGTTTCTTAAGAATCCATGATAATTTTCTCACTCTATTGCTCATTGATTCAATATGCGTGTTAGTCTTAATATCACAAACAACAAAACAATGAGAATTCTAATTTTTGTACAAGAATGGGTAAAGAAACGGTGTTGAAGGCATTTTTGTGATCTAAAAAATTTCCGTTTTTTTTAAATTGTTTAAAAAACAATCCGTTACTGATTTTGTTAAACTTAGGACTGCATCAAATTAGTTCCCTCTTTCTTTTACTATTTCGCCCTAATACGAAGTTCGATGGAGTTAATTGTTCTGATGCCAATCCAGATTCAGAATACGATAATGATTTGTTCATTTCGCTATCCATTAATACCAGGAGATTATAAAACCCAAAGAGATACGTTAAACATAAAAATCGGTAGCCGATGACAACAGCAATCCTAGTCAATATACAATCAAAAGTACCAGGGCACTAGGAGCTTGGTGGAGGTGACGTTAACCATACATGTGCAATGTCATTAGCCGTAGCCGTAGTATCCAACGTCGTAACGCACTCCGTAGCATGCCGCTACGACTGTAGTACAACAAACTCCTGCACTGTTATCCACTCCTATTGTTTCGATCAAAATTAATCACTATAATTTACAATTTATTTATTTTAATTTAACTAGATCAAGTTTGTGTACGCGTGCACTCATTGAGCGGTCCGGAGGGGGGGGAGCTCATTTCTTACCATTTATTAACTGTATTGAGTCTTAAGTGAAATACAATTGCATAATCTAATTCAGGAGCATCATTGATTTGGTTAACATTGCTATAGCTAGGTACTAAGTGCACCTTTGTATGTAATATAATATGTAATATGTATTGAGAATTATATGGTACAAATTAAATAGATTGTTTTCAGCATTCCCGCATGCTTCATTTGATTAATAGTATATAAAATAATGTATGTCTGTCAGAGAGGCATCTCAAATTTGTATTAAAGCTTGTAACCCACCATTACAACAAAATCAAAAAAAAAAAAATATTGTAGAAGATCTTAATGTGTTTTGTGGTTCCAATTAGAATTATTTAAGCTGTAATCATGTCAATTTTTGTACCTTTAAAGGCTCTTACTACCAAATAATTATTGGTCCAGATGCTTTCTACAATATGTTTCTTTTGAAAGAGTTAATGATTTACTCTATATAATTATGAAAACCGTGGGTCTGATGAAACTGAATTTGCCACCTACTGAACAAGTATTTTATTCGATATTGATTTAAAATTCAAAGTACTTAAAATTGAAAAAGTAATGAAATTCTTATAGGCTATTGTCAACAACTCTTACATTTTTATCCCCACATTGTTATACAAAATTAGTTACACTTGAATCAGAAACCTTCTCTTTCATAGAAGTCGATAAATAATAAGACTATACATCTTATATCATTTGCAAAAATAAAATTATAATTAGAACCTTTTGGAAAATGTTTGCAACCCCTGAAATAACATCATTTGTTTATATAAGTTTTTTTTATCTCGAATTAAATTTCGGAATATAAATAAACGTGTGCAATACACAGTTCACTGTTATGAGCAGTGTTTTGTCAATTTAGTAGGTACAAGAACGAGAACGTGTTACTTTTATGAACCTCACCATTTTCTAATATATTTCAATTTTTGCTCCAAAAAAAGCATTTAAAACGTTCAAGTGAACCTCAATGTGAATATTATCACTCTAGACTAGGTTGTATGTGCTATATATAAATAGCGTAAGTAAGCGTACATCAGCGGGAGCCTATTTTAAGAAAGACAGAATAATGACCGTTGTTTCCTTATATATATATATATATATATAATAGCTTGTTGGAAATACATGTAGAGAAGGAAAATTTTGCAAGAAAAGGTGATTCTCATCGATATAATCTACGTAATAATGAAAAGTTACGTCATCCAAAGGTAAAACTAAAAAATGTTCAAAAACAGGGTATTTATCTAAAAATAAAAATGTATAACAAATTACCTTTAAGTATTATAAACAAAAACCACAGCAGCTTTAAAAGTATTCTGAAATCGTTTTTTGAGCAAAATCCTCTCTATTCCTTGAATGAATTTTTGACGATGCGTATAAGCGAATCTACTTTTATGACATGATGTAATTAGATACTGTAAGTTTTTTTTTTCTCTTGAGATTAAGATTTAATTGAACTATGAATTGTGAACTGACATACCTTGTTTAACAATATTGTTATAAATGGCTAATAAATAAATTGAAATTGAAATATCTCTTTGCCTTTAACTATGCCAAAAAGTAAAGTTGATTTATGTTCCGTAGAAGCTTAGCGGGAATTTTATATAGAGTTCACCTTTATTATTGATATTGTTGATTTGTGAACAAGACATAGCACT